CCAGGTCACACTCAGAGTGGTTCAGCAGGTGCCTGGAGATGGGCAACGCCCTGTCCCTCAGATGAAGGAGTGCCACCCTAGCTGGTCTTGGAGACGGAGAGAAAGGAGGGGCAGGATGACTGTCTCATTTCACTAGTCACAACCAAGCCATGCAGCACCTGTCCACCGCCTGCATGTCACCAGTCACCAGCTGCCACAAAAATGCCACAGGAAGCCTCCTGATCCTGTTACCCAGGCTCCAAGCAAGAAGTCAGAATGTCCCCTCTGTGAAATCAACAAAGCTTACTACTAGCATATTTCACATGTACTCGTATACACATGTAAATGTATACATACACACACAAATATATATGTGTGTATGTATGTATTTAACGGCTGAAGGAATAAGGTCACCAATGAGTTTGTTGTCCTTGTTTACTGTTTTTCTTAGCTTTTGTTATCACCTTGACATAAACTAGAGTTATCTGGGAAAAGGAACATCAAATGAGAAGATGTGCCCATCAGACTGGCCTATAGACAAAGATGTGGGCCACTTTCTTGATTAATGGTTTATGTGGGAGGGCCCAGCCCACTAGGAGACAGTGCTACCCCTGGGCTGGTGGTTCTGGGTTCTAAAGAAAGCAGGTTGAACAAGTCATGAAGAACAAGCCAGTAAGTAGCAACTTCCATGGCCTCTGCTGGAACTCCTGCCTCCAGGTTCCTGCCCTGCTTGAGTTTCTGTCTTGGCTTCTCTCAACGAACTCTGACCTGGATAAATGTATGCCAAATAAGCCCTCTCCTCCACAAGTTGTTTTTGGTCCATGTTTTATCACAGCAGCAGAAAACAAAGTAGGATACTTACAGAACATGGGTGAAGGGTTACTTGCAGGGCATGGGTAATACTAAAGGCGAAACATCACTGAAAATTGTCATCCCACCAATGGTGATGCCTTCCCCTTAGCTGCATAGGTGGAGTTCCCTCTTTAATTACCTTCCACCTTCTCTTTACTCCAGCACCCCGTGAGGCCATGGGCAAGTGGCCCGGTATCACAAGCAGCTAGAATAGGGGGTGTGCAGTGCCAGGGGCCCAGTCTCACCAGGGGATTTGGGAGGAGACAAAGGCCTCCTTGTTCCCTGATTCAACTTTCCACAGCAGTGCGCAATTTACCATCATAACGTCCAAAGTCTAATGGAGGAGCCTGGAACTTGTGGGCTCCCATGAACGGCTCCCCATTGAGGATCTCACCATGGACAGTGATGTCCCCTCCCCAGCCAGTTCCCAGCATGGTTCAACACTACCGACGCACTGCAGGATCAAGAGATGCTGTGCCCATCACAGCAGCATGTAGCTAGAGGCCCCGGGCTCCCCTCGCTGCCCAGGCACACCTGGCAGCCCAGTGGTGTGCACCAGGCTCTCCACATTAGGGATGATCATGGGTCCTATGTGACATTCTGTGCCCCATATGGATTGACCCTTTGGTAGATAAGAATCTGAGACTGAGGGTAACGTGTGTGGTCCGAGGTACCAGTGACTCCAGGAGTCTCTCTGGGGCCAGAGCTCAGGCCTGCTGTCACGTGGAGGCTGTGATGCTTATCGTTTGCTGGGGAAGGGAGCCATCTCTGTAGGTGTTTCCTCCAGAGCAGGCCAAGAGAAAGCTTGTTGATTGCTTGCCCTTGTTCTGGTCCAACCAAGAGCTTTAGCTATTATGTAACAGTCCCTCCCTAGGGCATCTGCACTCCCCCAACAAGACCCCTCCAAGGTCATTAGACCCATTTCTTGGGTCTCCCAGGTAGAACAACATGGCACTGTGTTCTCAGGTCCTGCAAGGTGACACTGTGACCCTTGCTTCATGGCTTTCTTTCTCCAGGACAAAGAGAAAGTTTGTGCATCTCTGACCCTCACATCTCTCCAGGTACACAGTAGGTCTTTGACAGTGACGTTGAATCAGTAACTGATTAAGGGGACAGGTCAGACCTGCATTCCTAAAAAGATTGAGAGCTTCCAAGGAGGGACCCAAGAATCAGGATGGCACTGGTTCATCTCCACACTCACCCTGACCCCCGGCTTCCTACCATGCCTGCAGGAGGAGTCACTGAACTAGTTTTCCAGACAGACAGGTGGATGGAGAGTTATACAGATGGACTCGTAGATACGGCCCCACCTGGAGCTGTTGTGGTTAGAGAGTCTACAGACATCAGAGCCATGAAATCTGACTGGCCCTCTGCTCTCCCCTGTGTGGCTATGGTAGTTATTCAGCCACTCTGTACCTCAGATCCTGTCTCTGACTGGTTCCCAGAAGGTCTGGACATGATGTTTGGAAAGGGAGGGGCCCCTCACTGTTTGATACTATTTCCTCTGCTGTAGAATGGGGTGCCAAGCTACAGTGAGGATCAGAACCTAAGCACAGAGCCAGGTTCCATTCTGCAGGGTTGCCACTGGTGTCACTATCCAGCTACAAGTCCCTCATCCTTCAGCTCTCTGTAGACATAATTGTTGGTTAAACCAGGTTGTTGGTTCCTGCTCTTCCTGCACTGTCCAAATTGTGGACCAAAAGTCTCTCTGTGGGCTGGGTATGTAGTTTAATTGATAGGATACTTCCCTACCATGCTAAAAACCCTGGGTTCAATCCCCAGCATGGCATAAACTGGCTTCTTGGGTAACACCTGTTATCCTAGCAACTGGGGGGTAAAGGCAAGAGGTTCAAAAGTTCTGCTTCATCCTTGGCTAATTATTGAGTTAAGGATAGCTGCAGCTCTCTCATTTGGTTATCTAGCAACATATTAGCACCTTCTGTGTACCAGATGTTCTTCCAGAGTCTAGGGTGTCATTGGGAAAGGCAGATCCTGCCTGGCTCTCAAGGAGCTGACAGCCCCTGGGGGACACTCTGTGGGGGGCACAGGGGAGCTCAGGAAGGGAGATGAGCATGCATGCTGTTTCTTCCTGGCGTTTATTTTTTGTCTTAGTTAGGGGTTCTGTTGCTGTGAAGAGATACTGTGACCATGGCTACTCTTATAAAGGAAAACATTTAATTGGAGCGCTTACAGTTCAGAAGTTCTTTCCATTATTATCATGATGGACATGGTGGTGTGCAGGGACATGGTGCTGGAAAGGGAGCTTAGAATCTCCCTCCCTCCCTCCTTCCCCCTCCCTCTCTCCCTCACTTCCTTCCCCTGCCTCCCTCCATTTGTCCCCCCCTCTATGACAGAAGGTACAAACATTTTCTCTGGTTCCATAATCATGAGCCGCATTTCATTGGGGTGCATCACCATCCTTCTGGAATACTCTGCAACCTCTTCCTGATGCCTGATGGCTACATTGTTTGAAGAAATGAGCCAGTACTTTCTAGGACACTTTTCCTTTGGGACTGGTGTCCCCATTGTGTAACACTGTGAGGGGGTTATTGCTGACTCAGACTCAGAGCAGCTGTGATCACCCAGACTCCTGAGACCCTTGGCAGAATGGAATAGGGGGACATCAGACCCTCACTCGAGACCACAACCACTTGCTGGCCAAGACACTAGAGTGTTCAGGAGGAGAAGGCTGACTGGATGGGAACTCATCTGTGCATCACCCATGCTGGGGTGGGAATCATTGATGGTGTGCTACCTTCAAGGCTGCCATGCTTCTGGAAATAATCCCAGTACATTCACCATCTCACCAAGCTGGGCATGGCTGATCCTGATGTTCTCATGGTTCACCAGTCTGGATGTGTGTAAAATCTCTTCTTCAGTCTGTTACTGCCCTCTCTGGGGTGAATGGAAAGACTCTCCAACAGCTGGGCAGTGGTGTCCTGCACCTTTAATCCCAGCACTCAAGGCCAGCCTGGTCTACAGAGTTTCAGGAAACAACAACAACAAAGGAAGACTCTCCAAGAAGAATCACTTACCACCACAGGACTGAGATTCCGGCTGGATTTTTAGGCAGGCACACCCTTAAGGTGACATGTGTCCTCCTTCATGCAAATGCCCTACCAGGGCATAGGACACCCCTGTTCCTTCAGGGTGACAGCTAGGTTGGCTCCTGTCAGGTGTCTCCCTGTGAGGTGCTGCTTCCCCTTTGTGACTGGAAAGTGTTATGGGCACCCTTGTGGAGGGTTTCTTTCTCACTGACCCGCCTGTTTTGCCCTTACAGAACTCCCAAAGATGCAGAATTTAGCTGGAGGTGTGCACACTGCTGGACTTCCCCAGGGAGTCTTCATTCACCTCAGATAAAGAGGACAGTAACACACTAAAGAAAGGGATCCATCGCAGTCCCTCTGTGAGTCTGTGACCACACTGAGGTTACCTACAGGAGACTGGGACGTCCACCCCAGCACAGGTGACAACTCACAAAACCCTACCTCTCTGGAGTCTCCGGCACAGTTTGTAGGCAGCTCCACTGAAGAGTCTCCTCCCCCCAGCGATTGCCCACTGCCTATATAACCTCAGGAGGGGCCTTGCGATTATTTTAAATTCCCTGTGGTTCTCATGAGCCTCCTCCTCCCTCACTGAGAGGATGTTGCAAACTGGAGAAAACAGATGTGCAATGACCAGGGGGAACAGTCACAGTAGGGTTCCCAGAAGGCTTCTCTGAGAGGAAACCTTAATGCCTAGTCCTGGAAAAAGAGAGGGAACCCCCACAAATAGCTTGGGGAGATCATGCCTGGCTGAGAAACCCATGAACATCAAGGCTGGAAGGCAGGACTGGCCAGCTGTCCTTTGAACAGCAACCTGGAATGTGGGCTATTGGCATGGAGAGGGTAACAAAGGGGCCTGTGGGCCAGAACTAGTGGTAAGTTACTAAAGGGAGATACCTGCATCCTGGCTCAGGTCTCAAGGTATTCCCAGCACTTCAGGTTTTGGAAATGAGTCCAGGGGAGCCATGAAGAACAGCCATTTATTTTCACTTTTATTTGTGGATCTGTTCTTATGTATACATGCATGTGCGTGAGCATGCAGAAGTCAGAGGCCACGGCAAATGTCTTTGTTTTTCTTTTCCTTTTTCTTTTTCCTTTTGGTTTTTTGAGACAAGGTTCCTCTGTGTGATCCTGGCTGGTCTGAAACTAGCTCTGTAGACCAGGCTAGCCTCAAACTCACAGAGATGGGCCTGCCTGGGCCTCCTGAGTACTGGGACTAAAGACATGTGCCAACCACTATGCCTGGAGACAAGTGTCTTTTTTAATTACCTGCCTACCTCTTCCTCATCTTCATCTTTGTGTGTGAGAGTGGGGATGCATGTGTATCAAAGGGCAAACTTGGGTATCAGTCCTCCCCTTGACCTTGTTTGTGACAGGATCTCTTGTTCACCACTGCATAGAGCAAGCTGGCTAATGCAGGCACTTCTAGGAAGCCCCTGTGTCTGTGTCCTGTCCTGCTGTAGGGGTGCTGGGATCACAGACGCACACTATTGTGTCATGCTTTGACTTGGTTCTAGGGATCTGAACTTGGATCCTCACTCTTGCATAGATAGCAAGCATCTGACTAACTGAGCCATCTCTCCAGCCCACTGAAGCCATTTATACTGAACCACAAATTCCTACCACACCAAGACGACGCTGGCCTGTGAAGAATGTGTGAAAAGAAATTTCAGAGATTTTCATCTGTGTCTCTACCTTCTGGAGGTTTCCTTGAAGTGCTCCCAGCCAAGATCTGCCTTCTTCCTGTAAAAAATAAAATAAAATAAGATCCTTTGTTAGACAGATGCATTTATGTGTCAGGTGTCAACAATTATGGTGGCTACTAAGAATGATGAAGGAAGGGTTCCCAGGCCTGCCCCAGCCCAGGGAAAATGACCTTTGCTGTGACCTGGTGACCAAACAAAGATGCCTATGGCTGTGGGAGGAGGGGGAGGGAGCCAGGCATCTGAGCTATGTGTTTACCCCTTGGGCTCCAGTGAGTCCTTGGGGCACCTTCACTGAATCCCTGGTGTCACCATGCACAGGCTGGGGCTTATCCCTCCTGCTAGAAGGAAAACCCTGCAAGACCACTGGTGTCACCCAGCTGTGGAGGAGTGGTCACAGCAGGACAGGTCTGGAGACGATTCTGCAAGCATGACCACAGCTGAGAGCAAATATAGGAACTGGGGCTCACAGCTGTGCCGCAGGCTGCCAGGCCTTTGCTTCTGACATTGGCTGAGCCCCTTGATGCATAGAGTCTACCCTCCCCCCAAATCCCTCTCAGTTCCCTGTCCCCGAATTCCCTCCTAACCATGAAGGCCCCACCCAGGCCACCGGCTTATTTGTTTTTCTTTTATAAAGATTTGTCATCTTATTTCATGTGCATACGTGTTTTGCCTTCATGTATGCACATCTACCATGTACAAGCCTGATGCCCAGAGGCCAGGAAAGTATGTGAGAAGTTGGAGTTGTAGGTGGTTGTCAGCTCCCTGCCATGGGAGCTAGGAACTGATCTGGATCCTCTGGAAGAGTAAGTGCTCTTAACTGCTGAGCCATCTCCCTACTTTTTTTTAGCATACCCTCCCCCATCTCTCTGCTCCCCAGCCCTGCGCCTGCTATGCCATTTCACCCCCCAGTATTCTCCTGTCCACTTTCACTCCATGTCACGCACCCTCCCTCTGTCACATGGACCCTTTTCCTTTCCACTCTCACCCACCAACACTCATTTTTGATAATTAGAAGCTACATTCTATGTGCGAGAGTGAACACGAAATGTCTTTCTGAGCCTGGGTCAGCTCTTTTTAATATTTTCTTCATGGCATGGCTGCTTGTCTCTAGCTCTGGGCTATAACAGGGAACAGCACCTACCTGCGTGGCCCAAAATCCCAGGTATCTGTTCTCTCAGTTCCTGAAGTCAGTCTGAAATCTGGTCCTGACAGGACCACACACTCTGCAGGCTTGGGGCAGGATCCTTCTGGCTCCTTCCGAGTTTGGGTGACCTCAGGTCTGCCGTGGTGACACTTCAGCTTCTGCCTTCCTCACCACCTCTTTCCCTTTCCATCACTTCTGATGGCATCACCAGTTCTGGAGCCAGAACGGTAACAGGGTCCTAGATCTAGTGGGCCCGGAGACTTTAGCACAACTGACTCCATGATAGAAGTGCCATTCAGGCTGCGAAGCTCAGCACAGACAGCACCACCTGCCAAAACCAAAGCAAAGGCCTAATCCATCAAAGGGCAGAGTTCCGGGAGAGTCTCTAAATGGACTAGCCCTGCCCTTTGACATCTGCAGCTCCACTTCCGGCTCCCTGTTCTCGGTAACTGAAGCGTGTCCACCCAGTACATGGTTTTGTGCTTAAAAGCTCACCCCGAGAAAGGCTCAGTGCACCAGCCGATGGTGGCACACGCCTTTCATCCCAGCACTCAGGAGGCAGAGGCTGGTGGATCTCTGTGAGTTCGATGTCTGCCTAGTCTACAAAGTGAGTTCCAGGACAGGTTCCAAAGATACACAGAGAAACTCTGTCTTGAAAAAAAAAAGACAAACAAACAAACAAAAAAACCTGGCACTACAATGGCACTGAACACACCCAGTGTAATCGCCAACTGGCTGATAAAGACTTTCTGTTGGCTTAAGCCCATGTCCAAGCAGTCTTTCCTGGGAATACCCCACAACAAGGACAACAGTCAGCCCAGGTTGAATTTACTCCCAGAGGCCTAGGATAAGTGCTCTATGAAGATCCTCATTTCAGATAAAGGCCCACTCTCAAATGTGATGGCTAACATGACAGGATTTAGCATCACCATGGAAACAAAGCTTTGAACATGTCTTTGAGGAGGCATCTAGGTTAATTGAGCCGGGAAGAACCACCCTAAATATGGGTAGCACCAAGCTGTGTGCTGGGCTCCTGGGTTCCTAGGCTTCCTAAAAAGGGGAAATTGGCTGAGTGCCAGCATCCTTCTCTCTCTGTTTCCTGGCTGTGGGGAGAATGTGACCAGCTGCTTCAGTATCTTGCCACCAGGACTCCCCCCCCCCCCCCCCGGCCAGGATCGAATGTATTTCTTGGAACTGTGGGTAAAAAATAAACAAACCCTTCCTTAAGTTGCTTTTGTCAGGCACTTTGTCACTACTTGACAAAATGACACACGAGGGCCGGACATGTCTGCACCCAGCCGTTATTCAGCCTGCTACCTCGCTGCCTAGTGCTGCACCACTCGTGTTCAAGGCAACCTGGCAACCCATCTCACCCGCCAGGAGAGGACAGGGACGGAGTCTGCTGTGCTGTGGCTCCTTCCCCACAGCCCCGCACAGCAGCCTTAAAACATGTCTGAAACGCACCTGTGGGCAGCAAGCCCTCAATTGTCAAACCCGGGAGTGCAGTTTACGACCAGATAAATTTCAGCTGCCCTGACACTGTGTCAAGCCAGCTCTGAGAGCTGCATTCTCGGGAGAGAGTGAAGGGAGTTGACTGGTGTGACTTCACTCATTGCTCAAGGTGTCCAGAGCAGACATTTCAAGAAAGACAACATGTTTCTAGTCAGGCCCCGCCCTTGACTCTTATTCCTAGCCCAGCTGTCAGGGCCATCTCCAACCTACACCTCTCAGGAATTCCCAGCTGGTTGCTTTGTCTGAGGACATTCCTTAAAATGTGGGTTCTAGAATCTTCCAAGGTAAAGACAGAAACAAAATAATCAAAACTTCTCAAAGGAAATATAAAAAACCCTCCGAGTCTATAGGAATGGCCATAGTGTGCCAAGTGACAAGACTAAGAAGAAAGATTGAAAAGAAACAGAAGCCCCAGGTGTCAGTACTGGGGACACCTGCACTAGAGCCCTGCTCATTCCAGATCAAAGTAAAAGATGAAAGACGAGAGCATTCACCTCAAAAAGCAGGCATGAAGCATGAGAGAGGTGGAGAGAGGCCAGCCAGACACACTAACACGGGAAAAGCAAACTCAGACGGGACAAAAGAACAGCTGGGAAGGAAACTTCAGAACCCCCATCCCCACCCCGTGTCAGATCACATGGCTACAAATAAAAAAAACTCCACAGGACCAGAAAGTTCCAGCTCACAGAGTCAGCCCACCAACAACACACTTTGCATGTAGCTAACAGTGCCGTGGAGATGGCCTAAGAACATGACCTGCACAGCAGTGATAAGGGTTCAGTAAGTTAAACTCTAGCAGAGATGAGTACAGACTACATGTTCTCACACAATGCAAACCACAACCCCAGTGTCCGAAGCTTGAGTGTGCCCACCTAGTCACCATGCTGATCTTCTCACGATCTGCTTCATTTTGGGTGTGCTCCATGACATCCACCACCCCGTGTCCCATCTCATGCATTCTCATGCCATCTCGTACTTCCTGTGCATTCTCATGCCTGCCCACAAATTCTAGCCTCCACACCCCTGGTGGGACTGTGGTGATGGGATTCAGAAGCTGGGCTGTTCAGGGGAGGTGCTGACCAACCAACCCATTGCTGCTGATGCCAGTGTCTGCCTTGGTCCATCAACAACACCCCCAGGAAGGTGAGAGGTTCCCCACCACAGCACCCGTCTTAGAACCAGAGGAGGCAACCTACAGGAGACCCAGGAGATAACAGAGCCAAGTTCCCGAGCGTTCTCTACATGAGCCTCAGACTCCCGAGACCTCATGTGGGGCAGTGTTAGGCAGGGGCACAGATTTCCCACTGCACAAGCGTTCACCAGCAGCACAACGGGCCCTGGAAGTTTCTCTCTTGCTCCACAGAACACCTTCTTACCCTTCCTTCTCCTAGGGACTCAGCCCACCAGGAGGCACTGAAGGCTTGCCGGATTCTCTCAGAGCGAGGCACTGAAGGCTTGCTGTATTCTCCCAGAGCGAGGCACTGAAGGCTTGCTGTATTCTCTCAGAGCGAGGCACTGAAGGCTTGCCGGATTCTCTCAGAGCGAGGCACTGATGGCTTGCCGGATTCTCTCAGAGCGAGGCACTGAAGGCTTGCTGTATTCTCTCAGAGCGAGGCACTGAAGGCTTGCCGGATTCCCTCAGAGCGAGGCACTGATGGCTTGCTGTATTCTCCCAGAGCGAGGCACTGATGGCTTGCTGTATTCTCCCAGAGCGAGGCACTGATGGCTTGCTGTATTCTCCCAGAGCGAGGCACTGAAGGCTTGCTGTATTCTCTCAGAGCGAGGCACTGAAGGCTTGCCGGATTCTCTCAGAGTGAGGCACTGAAGGCTTGCCGGATTCTCTCAGAGCGAGGCACTGAAGGCTTGCCGGATTCTCTCAGAGCGAGGCACTGACGGCTTGCCGGATTCCCTCAGAGCCGCTTTCTTCCCTGAGACTCACAGTTGCACACCGTGGCTCTCTCCTCTCTAGCTGCCTTTTCTAGGAGGCTCACCCTATGGCCACTCCAGGTCCTTTCCACCTCCCCTGTGGCCACATCTTTGGGGACAGTCTCTCACTTCAGCTCCCAGATCACTCAGTTTCGGGGTGCTGTTTCCTTCTGGGACCCCAGTTCACACAGGTAGATAGGTAGTGTCATTCTGTCTTCATGGAGGAGTAAACTGAGGCTGAGTGAGGTGGGAAAAGTCACCCTAGCTCACACACATCTGGAACTATGTGGCCTGGACTGCAAAGTCGAGGGAGTTCAGTAGTTTCTCTCTCTCTTTTTTTTTTTTTAGACCTGGGGATGGGGGTGAAGTCACATGCTAAGGGAGGGGTCTCACGATGGAAGCAGGCATGGGGTGGGGCAGCACGATGACACGGGGTGACATGAAGCCACCTGGAGTGTCCCATCAGTTGACCAGGACTGGAACGGCTACCGCGTGGCCGCTTGGGGGAACCAGTGAGGCAGGTGGCAAATGTTTGCTCAAAGGGGACAGTTTAGTCACACAAACAAATGCAGTCAGTTGATTGATTGCCTATGGTCAAAGGTAAACCCAGGATGGAGCATGGCCCAGCCTACTCCAGGGCCACCTCTGTTCTGTGGAGTTTGAGACCCTGGTTCACCCTAAAGCCTTCTGGCTTTCCTCAGCACACACTGGGCAACCCAAAGCAGTTTATGTGGCACATGTGCTCCTGCAGCGCCTTCGGGAGTTGAGTGACATCCACCACGGTGTACCAGCAAGCTGCTGACACAAGCATGCTCCGTGTGAGCCCTGCAGGATGCCCCATCACACTGCCTTCAGGATCCCCAGGTTTTCTGGGAAGAGGGTGCTGTCCTGATGGCTATTTGGCAGGGCAATAACCAAAGATTCAGGAAACACACAGCATTCACCCACCATTTGCAAGGACAGAATGTGCATGACATGACAGGTGAACATAAAAGTTGGAGATCTTCCACAGCTTCCCTGCCCCCAAGGGTACACTTAAATAGGTATCGTGTGGGTAAGGTTACTGTAGGTAAGGTCTCAGCCTTCTGCTCCATTTCAATTACAGATGCAGCCAGGTGGCTCAGGGAGGCCAGTAACTGGCCCAGAGCTACACTATCCCAAGTAAGGCTTTGGCTCAGGACCTTCCCCCTTCCAGGTGATTCTTATGCTCTGGCAGGTTTGGACGAGAACCGTTGCTCTGAGACTACACAGTGGCTTCCGGCCCTTCCAGAATTCCTGGGATTGACCCTGGGAATTTGGGGTCCTAGCGCCAGCGGGGCGGGCCAGCTGTACAGAGGGCGGTGCTGTTGCGGCCCTGCCCAGGGGCGGAGCTCACCTGGGGACCAGGTAGACAGCTCCCGGGCAACCTGGCCGCCCGGGAAGCTTGGGCGCGCAGCAGTCGCGGCCTCGCTTGGGCCCCAGGGACGCGGGCAGGGACTGCGACCGGCCCCACGCCTGGCCGTGGAGCAGCCTGGACACCCGCTCACCATGGGGAGACGCTTCAAGTTTCTACAGAAACTGCCCTTCCTGGGTCAGGACCACCGGTACAAGGCGCTGGAGAGGGACGAGGTGGAGACCCTGGTGAGTCTGAGCGATCTGGTATGAGGCATGGGATCGGACTCCACATTTGTCCCCTGAGATCCTGCCTCTGACCCGCGGAACCCCATGTGTCACTGGGCACTGAGATTCTGCTCAGCACCTCCTTTAAAGCAGCTCGACCCGGCTCAAGGCGCCTAACTCACCAGTTACCCTGGGTAGGCTAGCCCATTTGGGGAATGAGAAACTGACCTGTGCTCCTTAAAGGGCTCACAGCTGGCAGGCCACCTAGCCAGGGACTTAGGTTTCTCCGACTCCAGGGAATTTCAATGCCTCTGCATACACAGGCAGTTGTATGAACTTTTGAAAGCTGCTGGAATTGGAGGAGAGTGGGTCCTGGTGGGGATAAAAAAAAAAACACACACACACACACACACACAAAATCTTGCCCAGGTTTAATAGTGAAAACTGAAGCAGCACAGTAGAGCCACCGGCTTCATTTCCTCTACATCAGCGTGGTTTTTAAAAGCTGCTCTGAGCCAGGCATGGTGGTCCACGCCTTTAATCCCAGCATTTGGCAGGCAGGGGCAGGTGTATCTCTATGAGTTTGAGACCAGCCTGGTCTACATAGTGAGTTCCAGGACAGCTAGGGCTATGTATCAAAAAAAAAAAAAAAGTAAGTAAGTAAGAAAGAAAGAAAAGAAGCCACCCTGAGCTGAGTTGTAGGATGATTTTGAACCTTCAGAGAACCTTCTAGGATAACTCTCCAGGACTGTGGTACCAGGAGTTTCTCTCCAGGACCAACAACCATAAAGTTGTTTCTGTACCTCTGATGGGGCAGCTGGGGTACAGCCAGTGGGTTCGTGACCCAGAACGGCATCTCCCCCACACTGGCTTTATGAGGTCTGAGAGTGGAATCCCTTGGCACATCCAGAACTCCCATGCTTGCCCTTGGGGAACAACCCCCCCAAATATGGTCTTTTCGTGGTGGGGAATCCAGGTTAAATTTTGTAATGACAGAAAATGTTTTGTAACATTTCTTTTTTTTTTTTTTTTGGTTTTACGAGACAGGGTTTCTCTGTATTGTTTTGGAGGCTGTTGGTCCAGCCCGGCCTCGAACTCACAGAGATCCACCTGCCTCTGCCTCCCGAGTGCTGGGATTAAAGGCGTGCGCCACCACCGCCCAGCATTTCAATTTTATTTCTTCTCAAATAATGCCACAGTCAAAACATTTGATGGTATGACTCTTAAATATTTATGCACTTTATTTACAACTGTTATTGTATGCATCAGTGTCAATGTAGGAATTCTGGCGCTAGGGCTGTGACCTGCAGGACTCAAAACCATCCATGTTTGCTTGTAGCTTTGTGGGTTAGCGGTGTACCGTAATCCTTTGCCGATGCCGAGTGTGTCCTTACATGTTTGTAATGTGTTGTTAGCAGGGGTTTAGCGTGTGTTTGTTGACACAGATGGCTTCCTTCTACCTTTTTCTATTTCTGCCTCTCCATCTTTTGATGTTTGGCACACTCGTAGCTGGTTGTCTTCAGGGAGTCTAAGACTGTGCAGGTGTGGGTTTGGTGTGAACCACATGCAGATGCTCTGAGCCAGGTGGACTTCGTTCCCCTGAGCTGTTCAAAGGCAGCCTGTCTGCAGGCGTGTTCCCCAACCTGTCTGCAGGCGTGTTCCCCAACCTGTCTGCAGGCGTATTCGCCACCTGGCCATGTTCTCTGCAGCACACTGGCAGTGAGGGAGCCCAGGCATGTGGTGACCAGCACTGTAGACCTATGGGGAGATCACAGCAAAGGCCAGCTCTTGCAGGTGCGCTGTCTGCAAAGTGTCCCTACAAGGTACACAATAAGGGTGCATAGTCAGGTCTTGGGGCAGTGGAACCCGGCCCTGGCTTCCCTCCTCAGTACCACAGGAAACCAAACAACCACACTAAAAACCAGTCCCTGGGAATGAGGAGAGAAGACCAGAGGAGACACTGCACCCTGCTGGGCTTGGAACCCTGTCCCCGGCCAAGAGAAGGATGGAAGGATGGAAGGATGTCTGGTTCCCATAGGGTCACTTCTGCTATTATCCTGACTTGGCTTCATGAGCACTTGGTGTGTGCTGAGTCCCAGGTGCTGCAGACTTCACAGCACACACAGATGTGAGAGAGAACAGTCCTGAGAACTGACTGGGTCCCCTCCTAGGCCTCCAGCCTCCAGATGAGCTTTATGGCAATTTTGGGACAGAAGAGTGCCAAGGTCCCAGGCTGGCGCCATTTGGTTCTTGCTGAGTATCGACCGGACAGTCTTGGCCAGTGCGGAGGATCAAGGTATTCACAAACCAGTTAGAGGAAGGTGAGGAGAGTGACAGATGACCTGAAGAAGGAGGCCAGAGGCTGGAAGGAGTCAAGAGGCTGAGACACAGAGATGGGGACATCGCCAAGTTACAGGTGTTCAGCGCCCCACCTGGGAAGATCCCTCTTTTTTGCTGTGTTTCCAGGGTGACCAGTAGAAAGGAGTTTGAAAGCCTCCTTGGTGTTGATGCTGGACAAAGCTTCTCTCTGATGTCCTGCACAGTAGGAGAACATTAGACTAGAAATTCTTGTTTCTGGGAAGGCCAGGTGCCAGCTCTGCCCTTGAGGCTGCTCCTGAGGTGGGTGTGACTCCCACTTGTCCTGCCATCCTGGCTGTTGACCTTGTCACCCTTCTGAGCTCTCCAGATCCAGGTCCGGCTGCCAGTAGATGGGCAGGTGCAGTGGGCAGCCTGTCATTCAACCCAGACTCCAGCACCTGAGGAAAACCGCACGCCTTCTCCGCCCTTAGGCATCCGTTGTGGTGGGCGAAAGCAGGGCATAGCTGACCTTGACTGCTGGGAGGGAGAGCTGGGAGGGAGAGATGTCTGAGATTAACAGGAGTGGAAAGATGAGTGAGCTTGGCAGAGTTCCCCACGGGAGGAGGAAAGTACAGGGGCTGCTCTCAGAAGGTCAGGCTGCACAGGTGACCCCAGGAGTCTTATCAGAAAGAATCTGGCCTTTCTGCTTACAGTAGTGGGGGCTTTTGAATGGTTTTAATCAGGACTTGGCAGCTGTTCACACATTCATATTCATGCCAGACTTTAGTGGCTCAGTGAAGACAGCAATCACAGAGTTGTATATTTAAGACCTGACGCTCAGGCTGAGGAGATGGTTCCTCAGCTAAGAGCACTGGTTGCTCTTCCAAAGGACCCAGGTTCAATTCCCAGACCCACATGGCAGCTCACAGCCATCTATAACTCCAGTTCCAGGGGTCCATGCTCTCTTCTGAGCTCTGGGGTCACTGTGTGCGTGTGGTGCTCAGACATACATGGACAAAACACCCATCTACATTTTTTTAAAAATGAAGATTAATTTTTAAAGTCTATCTATTTTTATTTTATGTATATTGGTGTTTTGGCATGGGTGCTGGGTTCCCTGGAACTATAGTTACAGGCAGTTGTGA